TAATTCAAAATTAGTGATTTTAGTTACCAAAATATTTTTAACCCAGTTTTTATATATATTTTTAGTTCTATAAATTTAAAAAAAATATATTTATATTTAAATTATACATTTTAATTATACATTTGTTAAAATATATTTTTAATATTAAACAAGGTGGTGAAATTAAGATGTGGTGTATCAGTGTATGTTTAGCATCGAACAATTAGATTATTTAATACTTTTTGGTTAACTATATTAGACTAGAATATTTAATCCGGTTGTGTATTAAATAATTTAATTGTTTTAAGCACATTAAATAATCTAACTATTTTAAGCACATTGTCTATTAAACTATTCATATTTAATCCTGTTAATATATTAAATCTCTATATTATTATTTGAGTAATCATTTACATAGATGAACTTTAATTTGTAAGATATTAGAGAATATTTTACATAAATTAGTTTTACTTTTTAAGATACTATATAACTAAATTTTATTTTAACGACTGCGTCATATAAAATTTTTTGAACCAAAATTACAGATTTTTCATAGGCTAAAATTGCAAGTCTTAAATATAAGTAAACTGGGCCAAAATTATCATGAGAGAAAGTATCATTAAAATTATGTAGACTAATATTTTTTAAATTGTCAAAAAATATTTAAAAATTATCAAAAATCTAGCTTGATTTTAGATACGTGTATCACAATTTTAAAATAGATATGGTTTTGTATGATCATTGGTTCTAATTTATAATAGACATGATTTAAAATTTTAACAAGTTTTAATTTGCAACAATATTACGCTTTTATGTATAACTAAATATCCGCGTATCTAAAATTTATAAAAATTATCATGAGAGAATGTCATTAAAATTGCTCGGCAAAATTTTTTTTTAATAAAATACATATGTCCAAAGCTAATAAAACATTTCATTTTGATAACTTCAAAAAAAAAAGAAAACACATTCGTATAAAAATAATAGATATATTTTTTCAACATTTAACACATAACAATTAATAACAGTTAATTTTTAATTCAAATAATACAAATAATACAACAGTCTAACGTTTTTCTTTGTTTGAATTCACCAAAAATTATTATACACTATAATTTGTAATGTTTGTAACAGTAAATATTTTTCAAAAAATACATCACCTAAGAATAGATGAAAAACAATTTTTCTCACGATACAACGCGGATTACTTCCTCGTACTATAGTTATTTTAGTTAACTACTAAACTATTAGATTAATGCTCATTCCATTATATTTGAGCACATCTTCGTATTCGGTTTTAAGAGAATATATTTCCCACTACTTGATGGGAAACCAAATTCAGTGAGGATATCTTCCCATATTCTCCCGATTTTGCTATCATCACCAACTGACAACTGTGATATCAATGGATAATGTGTAAGATATGAAATGGTTCGTGCTACATATATACACAACTTACATCTTTCAAGGGAGCTTATAAAACTCTTGTCCACACCTTCAACCAACAAATTGAGATCCTAGCTTTTGAACCTAATCGTGTTGCTTATACGAAACATCCTCTAGTCACATGTGCATTCGTTCAAGACCCTGAGATCGGTCCATGCTTACTCATTAAAGCGGCTTATGAACCTCTCGCAAATATGCCAAAAGGTAGCTCAATCGGCAATTGTCGACCTTGTTTAACGACCATAATACTAGCTAATATGGTTGTACAAAATCAAATACAATTCCGATAAATCTGTTGACCTGCATAAATATCATTTGATTAATTTGGAAAATCGAAAAGTTAGGGGACCTAAATATTATGCAACATTTGCTCTTGTGCCACGATGAAAATTGTTAAATCTCTACATGCACCTGCATGGCAAAGCAGATATACATAAAAGGCATGTGCAATATTGTCTTCTTTCATATAGACCTTGATGAAAAATGAAAAAAATTACATTAAGGTGTTGATTGGTTTACCCGCTACCAACTGCAAACGCTGTTAGTGGCGTTTTATTACAATCATAGAAATCGCTGCAAACCGCTCCATATTGTTTTATACCGCTGAAATCCAAAAGCTGCTTCCCGCCAGCATTTGCGGTTGCGGGCGGTAGCGGTTGGGTAAAAAAAATAAAAATAAAAAACTAAAATCACGCTAGAAAAAAATAAAAGATCGCGTTAAAAACATTTATAAAACCCTAACCCTACTAATCTTCTCCTATATATAGAAACCCTAACCTCTCACATTTTTTATCAAGTTCTAGTCTCTAATCATAATTTTTATATCAGTTGAAGAAAATTATGATACAAGCATAGATGCCATAATACTTTGGTTTAATTCATTTATATTAATTGTTCTGTTTCCACTTTTAAAATAAGAAATTATAAATATGTATTTTATTAATTACAAAATTAGTTTGTTATAATTCTTTTTTTTTGTTCTTCAGAAAGTTACATGATCAAACGAGATGACATGTGCGTTACTTCAACGGATCATTGTAGAAAAACAAACTCAAGATAAATATCCTAGATTTTTGAGTGCACTCTAGAAAAAATGTATTTTGAAGAATACAAATGAGCAATTTGGAGTTGATTTAAGTTGGGGTCATGCAAAAAATCGATTAGATCAGTGAAGAAATTTTACATCATGCATAAGACAAATCCGGAAGATCCACGTATTTGAACAATATTTTGGGTGATGTAACCAATAATTGAAATAAACATATTATTATAAAATTTATTAGTTTTTAAAAGAATTATTTAGTATTTCTTTATAATTTTTATTAATTATTTTGAACTAGTGATTATGATATTAATCATAATTGTTTTTCTGTTTTTTTTTGTAATTATATATGATGTTTATTTTGGTAATTTTATGTTTAACCACTGAAACAATCGCTGGTTTGCCAATAAAAAATGTCCCGCAAATAGATCTGCCTTAAAAAGTTTAACCAGTCGTGCAAACCGCTGAATAACGCTCAAAACCGCAACCGTCCACTTCCGCAAACTCCCGCACTCGCAACTACAACAGCTGCGTGTAAACCAGTCAAGCCCTAAGTACCCTCCGGTCTTCACGAGTTTGGACTCTCATCAAGCATGTCGTTTAAAACAAATCATTTTATGGATTTTTGTCAAACTCCTTGATTCTTGTTCTCCAAACTCCTGTCAATAATTGATTCATTTTGGTTGTATACTTGTATCTAAAACAAGGCTTCCTACCCTCTATCAGAGATGATGAGAGATTCGGAATGGGATAAATATTAGAATACATATGTCAGTTTATACTTTATATAGAAGAAAGTACTATACATAATTAATGTAGTTTCCATAATTATAAATCTCAGTTATTATTCACAATTATATCAACGGATCTTCAAGATATTTTAGTTCTTTTTATATGGCCTCTCATGTTCAAGGTGGCGATGAAGAAACCCTTTGAGATTGATCAAAGATACAATGAAATCGTTGGAAGAATATTCTAGTCACTTTTCTTTGGACTTGCATATGTGGGCTTTCTTTAAACTGTGAGTTGGGAATATGTGATTCTCAGCAACGGTGGGCTTTGACAATAATGAAACCTTTGAGTGCTTAGGGTTTGACCACATGTTGTGCCTTAAGGATTGACGAGTGCTCTCACGAGCCAACCATGGCCCAAAGTAGAAGATACTACTAAAACAAGTTTTCGGTCCATCCATACTACCACTAGCTTTTTTCTTTTAAAACTATTGTAAATTATTTATTCCATAAATACCAGAAAACTAATTAAAACTAAACTATTAACCTTAAAAACTAAATATGATCTTCACATTCAAAACAAAACTTTTAACTCTCAAAACTAAACTCTAAAATAGTAAACCCACATACATATGTTTAAACTATATTTTTTTTTTATCAACAATTTAAGTGTTTAGAACGGTTCGGTAACCAAACCGATGACACCGAATTTACAAACTATAAACTCTTAGAGAAAATCCAACACTAGCGCTATACTTGGTGTTGAAAAGAATATTATTATAATGTCCTTTTTTCATCTCTAATCATAAATATTTTATGGGATATTTATTTTTAGTTAGAAATTGTAATCAATAAACAATCACTAATTTAGTCATATAATATTTAATAAAAAATAAAAGTAATAGTATATTAAATTAGTGTTGAAAAGAATAGTATTATAATGTCCTTTTTTCATCTCTAATCATAAATATTTTATGGGATATTTATTTTTAATTAGAAATTTTAATCAATAAACAATCACTAATTTAGTCATATAATATTTAATAAAAAATAAAAGTAATAGTATATTAAAATTTAGTGTGGATCACACCAAAAATGGTGTACCGCTGAGTCTCTTATCATAAAACACTAAGAAAATAGTTTGTTGTTATATTTGACGTCAGGTTGGAGAGGATCCCACACCAAATTTAGTATTTTGCCGCTGCGTTGGAGTTTCTCTTAAAACTCATTTTTTAGTGTTGGGTAGTTTTGAAAGAAAAAAAAAACTAGTGATGATATGTATGGAACAAAAACTTAAATAATTATATATTAAGAAATTACTCTATTATAATTAATTGTATAATTAATCTCATATAATTCATAGCAGAAAATGAAAATTAAAGTTAGAAAATAATATGCATCGTCGTAGTCTTATCAAGTATTGGTACATGTCGAATTCTTAAAACGCTATATATAATTGGATTCTTATGAGTGATGAAGATATATATTCGATGTATTAATTAAGAAATGCAACGTCAAAGTTTGAAAAGTATGCATTACAATCCAACTCTTCTTGGAAAATATCAGATTAGAATATCAAACACCACTTGTTTAATACAATACAAAAGATAGAAAGATAAGAGTAACCACACATTATTAGAAATTGCAACTAGTTAAAGTCAATGTGTATTATTATTCTTCACTCATATGTTACCATTTCCATTGGAGAGACGTGCACCGCGTTCCGTTGACTGACTTAGCTCTCTATAATATACACAAAAGTCAACCCTATTATCTCTATTAATTCTGAATCGTATCCCTCAAAATTAGCAATCTCTCATTTTTTTAAGATCATCTAGTGAAAAAACGAAGAAGAAGAAAAACAAAAAAAAAGAGACAAAAAATGGGGAAGCCAACGACCCAAAACAATAGCTTTATAAACCACTTCAGCCACCCACACCGTCTTCAGTTAACACCGGCTACGTCTTCACCACCGTGCTCCGCCTGTAAACTCGCCGGAGGCAATGGCCGGGTTTACTCATGTAGACCATGCAACTTCTCTCTCCATGAGTCATGCAGCAAGATGAGTCAGGTAATTACACACCCTTCTCACCCGTCTCATACGCTTACCCTTCTCGTAGCTCCTGTTTACGACGGTGGATACTTCAACTGCGACGGTTGTGGTGTCATCGGGACTGGTTTTGGCTACCAATGTTCTCGTTGCGACTTTGACATCCACGCACTTTGCGCTTACAAGCCGCTCTCAATCATCCACAAGTCTCATCCGCAACATAACCTTAAGCTCACGTTTCACTCTCCCTATGGAGCCAATAAAGGGTTCTCTTGCGATATTTGCCTTAAGATTGGGAAAAACCAGTGGCTCTATCGATGCACCCCTTGCGAATTCGACGCTCATGTCGGTTGCATCACTGCTCCTCAGCCTCATCTCCTTCAACATAGTAGTTCTGCACCTACTCCTCATGTTCATCATTCCGGTCACCCTCAACATCAAAACTCGCTTCCTATGATTAATCAAGGCATTAACAAGCCCAGACAAAGGCCCATGACTAGGCCTAATGGGTCCATCGGTAATCCTAATAGACCTAATGGTCCCATTGGATATCCCGATAGACCTAGAGCTCAAAACATGGCTGCTTGTGGACCAAGAAGACAAAATAACAACTTGGGTTATAATGGTCAGGGTGGGCCTATTGGACCTATTGAACTTCTTGGTCAAGTAGGACAGAATCTTGGTCAAGGGTCAATGGACGGAAGTGTCTATGATGGAAGTGCGGGGAACGAAGAGTTTGATGCTGAAGTCGATGTTGAGATTGATTATGAAGTTGATGCTTATGAAGCTACTGAAGATGGACAAGGTATTGACGAGGGCCAAGAAGTTGATGCTAACGGACTTGAAATCGTGGCTTATGGTGATGATGGAGATGCTGCTTGTAGTGAGAGTGATTTTGGAGGAAGCAGTGATGCTCGAAGTCAATGTAATGATTTGTCTGATCATGGTGATCTTTATCCACTATCAGTTCGTACGAACCAAGGGTCGAATGGTGGTAGGAAGAAAAACCCGAATCCAAATAGTCCGGCCGCTCGATCGAAGAATATGGGTCTTAATGGGCCACGAAGTGCGCTTCAAGGGTCTAAGAATCCAATCCAAAGTCCTAAAGGATCTCAAGCTAGAAGAGTGCAAAATATGCGTAATAATGCAATAAGAGCTGGTGAGAATGTCAGATATAATAGGCCTCGTGGCCAAGCTATTGCAACATTTAACGGACCTCAGGGATTCAATGGGCCTAGTGGTGGACCCTCCAATGTGATTGATAGTGGTGGCAACAATGATAACTACAACCAAGGTGATGGGACTGAGGTGTATGGTGGTGACTATGACGAGAGTTATGGTGATGATTATACTGGTGGTAATGGTGATTGTGACTTTGAAGTTGGAGGCAATTATGACGACAACGGCGATGGTCAAGCTTATGATGATACTTATGGTGAAAACGATTTCGAAAGCTACAGCGATATCACTGGAGGAAGTGAGTCTATGTACGATGGAGATGAATATTATGAGACTATGGAGGATTCACAATATAATGGTTTAAATGATGAACCCAATAACCAGTATTTACCCATGGTTGGGCCGGTGGGTGGACCTGGAATGAATAATCAAAATCAGTACGGTCAGCCCGACAAAGCAAGGAACATGGGAAGGTATGGGCGTGGTGGTACTACAAATATGAGCAGATATGGTAACATGAATCAAGGTGCAAATAGTACTCAGCCTAGAGCTATGGGTCGAACGCTCCAATATCGGCGAAATGGAGGACCTTCTAGGGTTAATGGAGGACCTAATGTGCCTTATGGAGGCCCCATCGGACCTAATGGACCTAATGGAAATACGGTGATGAATACAATGGTGCAGAGTTTGTGTCAAGGCTTTGCGATGAACATGCTCATTAGCGGTGGTGGTGATGTTAACGGTGGAGTTGGTGATGGTGGTGGATCATCGATCATGGGAGGCTTATTTGGTAGTGAATCAGAAATTTGATTCTAAAAGAGATGGAAAATTGGAATTGGAGAAACTGAAAAATTGTTTTTCTTATATATATATTTTGCGAGTTTGTATTTTTTTTTGTATTTTTTTTTTTGTATTTTTTCCTTTTATTCTCCTCTATGTATTTCTAAAAATGTTATTTTTGTTATTAAATAGATTATTTTTGCTAACATAATTAAATATTTTATACAGATCATGTAACCAATTAAATAAGTTTTGGAGATCTCCCCAACTCTATATTAAATCCATATTAAAAGCCTTGTAAAGGCAAAGGATGCAGTCTTGAGTTAAAAATGAACGACAGTTACACAAAAAGTAAAATTCCGAGCATTACTCACAAAATCTATATCGGAGGAGTAAAAAACAAAAGAAGTGAATAAGCAGAGATGTTCAGGTGAAGCCTTGAGATGGCACTGGAAATTTGCTGGTGGTTTGCAGTGAAAAGACCTCTGTCGACGGGAGTATTAGCGGCGATATAATTAAAAACCCAGATTTACAGCTAAAAACAAAAAATTTATGCAAAGCTTCTTCTTTTCAGTTACCCAGAACGAAAATCACCAGGATGAAGTAATTCGTCCTATAACTTTTATCAAACAAGCAAATATGAACGAAGTAAGCAGCAAGCACTGTCAATCTGTTTAAGGCAGCTCTACCAACCGGATTATCATATTTTGATTGTAAAACTCCACACAAATAGTACAAAGAGCCAAAGAAGCTTTGATGGAGGAGTATTACAAGCTAGACTATGACGAGTAAACTATCGAGAAGGGCAAAGAGAAGAAGGCTTATACATGTTCAGCATGGAGTCGTTAACAAATATAGAATCACTGGAAACCGATTGAGCTATGAACAACGAATCATTAATACAGAAAGAGCCCCCTAAATCAGTAATCTATGAGTCCAGATCAGCTATATATGATCGAGTATACTCAAGCTCAAAATCAATCAACAAAAGCACAAAAGGATAGAGTTAGAAGAGATAATGAATCATCACCATGGCTGGAGAGTTATTTGGATTAAAATCCCAAATAAGAAAGACGAAGAAGAAAAACCAAGTGATACACCGAAATAAACCAAAGCTAATGTGTTAAGTTTCTAGAACAATAATGAAAACCCAATAGTTAGAGAAGCTTACTTGAGCTTTCATCGCCGGATCATCGCCGGATCGTCGCTGGATCGTCGCCGGAGAGCAGATTTGATTCGTCGTAGATAGCAGCCGACAATCTCAGAGAGAATACTTCTCAGGTTAGGTTAAAATTCTGTGTTTTAGAATGGCTGAGAAGCATAAATTAGAAGAAAAAAAATCTTCACAAATGAGTCTGAGTGCCATAATAGGTGTGATATGTTCATTTTATCCTTAATGAAGAGAGATGATGATATTCTTGAATTGTGATGATTTTTGGTGTTTAAAAAAAAAAATCGAGTTAATTGCAAATAGAAAATTGAAATCGAAAAACCAAACCAACAAATCAATTTCGGGTATTATCATCTGGGTATATTGAACCGAAAATTAGGGAAATCAAAATCATCCCGCGTTTCTAAACCCTAAACGCTCAAACGAACACCCTAAACCCAGATATCGATCGATCTGCTCGAATCTTGTAAATTGTTGCGTATTTTCGTTCGTAGCGGTGCGCCGGCGTCCTCTGAAGTCGGGTTATTCTCCGTAACTCGTTTCTCCTCCGCCATTTCGCTTTTAGGTGAACATATTCTGTATTTTGGGGATTTTTCAATTTTTCAATCGATTTGTCAATTTCGGTTTGTTTAGGTTGCACATTGGATAGTTTAGTTACTTATATAGGTTGATTTAGTTTTCTTTGTGTTAAAATGTAACATGGTGCGGTAGAATCGATCTGAATCGAGCTGAATCGTACAAATAGTGAATCTGTGGGAAACAGGACAACTGGTACAATTGGTAACTGAATGAAATGGGACAACTGGTACAATAGGGATAACTTAATGAATTAGGAGAAGTGGTATAATTGGGATAACTAAATGAAAGAGAACAACTGGTACAATTGGGATAACTGAATGAAATTGGACAACAAGTACAATTGGGATAACTGAATGAGATATGTGGGACAACTGGTACAATTGGGAAAACTGAATGAAATGGGACAACTTGTACAATTGGGATAACTTAAAGAGATATGTGGGACAACTGGTACAATTGGTATAACTGTGAGTAAATTTTAATTTTCTGTAAATCGTAAAAGCCTTTTTTTTTTGTATTTATGAACAGAAGAGGATGAGCGGCCACACAAACATACATTTTGAGTATGGAGGATGTTATTTTAAGGAAGGAGAAGAGTTTAAATGGATTTCAAGGAGTTCCATTTATGCTATATCATTTAAAACATCTATCGACGAGGTAACCTATTCGATGGTTGTAGATGGTATATGCAAGAAGATTGGGATAAACGATAGTACGAAGAAGCTCAAGTTAAGCTACTTCAAAGGAGACAAGTATAACTTGGACACAAGCAACGCCTGTTAATCTATGAACAGTGTCTTCAAGAAAGCTAGAAAGTATGCATTATTGCCGTGAATTGATGCGTATATTGAAAAAGTGTCTGAGTGGTTCAACAGGCATAGGGAAGACATTGTTGGTGCATCGTATTCGAAGAAATTGGTGCCGTATGTGGAAAATCAGTTGCATATCCAATGTGCAATAGCGACAGCGTTAACTGTGACTGAGCTAAATGTTCCTGAGCTTGAGTACAGTGTGGTTGGACTTGATGGGAAGAGCTATCTGGTCAATTTGGTAACAAAAAGTTGTGAGTGTTGGATGTTTGATATAGATAAGATTCCATGTGTGCATGCAATAGCCGCAACCATTGCAATGATGCGGACGACATCTAGAAGAAGAGACATACACATTTTCGATTTATGCTCGAGGTACTACTTGATTGATACTTGGGCGTTGGCTTATTGCCAAACCATTTATATGGTGCCGCATCATTCAACTTGGATTATTCCTGAGGAGGTTGGAAATTTAGTTGTTTACCCACCAGACTACACCAAAAAATCAGGAAGAAAGAAGGAGAAGCGGTTTCCTTCCACCGGAGAAGCTCGCAGGAGTCAGAAGGCCGACCCAGACATAAACATTGGCCGTTGGTTTGAACCACTAAACCCAAGGCAAGAAGAGGGTAAAGAGGGCGAAGAGGGTTAAGAGGGTGAAGAGGGTCAGAGCAACTAGGTGTATTATTTTGGATTTCATTATCTTGGATTTCTTGCAATACTATGTATTTTGGAGTAATTTATTTGTATTTTGAATTTCTTGGATTTGGAGAATGTCAACAGGGCAACTAGGTGCAATTAGGTGCAAGTACGTCCAAACCCAGGCAAACTAGGACAACTAGGACAATTATTAAAAATTACGGCAAACTTAAAGTAGGACAACTAGGACAACTATGACAACTATGAAAATTACAACAACTATGACAATTCGGGCAACTAGGACAACTATGACAACTATGACAACTATTAAAATTACAACAACTATGACAATTCGGGCAACTAGGACAACAAGGACAACAAGGACAACTATGACAATTACGGCAAGCAATTTCTTTAAACTAGGACAACTAGGACAACAAGGACAACTATGTAAATTACGACAAACAATTTCTTTAAATTACTAAAAACTAAACAAATATAGACCTAAACTCTTAACTAAGTTCTTTAAATTAGTAAACACTAAACAATATAGCCCTAAACTAATTTCTGAAAATAAGCTAAACCATTAGTGTTTCTAATGAAATAACCCTTATGGTATAAGGCATTTTTTGACAATGGTTTCCATCTTATAAGAGGCTAAACATAAAAATACAGGAAATATAAAAGGATGGGTGTGAAACCCTTTGGGGCAGGTATAACATTTTCAAGGGTTGAGGGGACAACTAAAAAAACGGGAAAATTGATAAAGGACAACTGAAAAAACTTAAAAATCAACCAAAGGACAACTATGACATATTTGGGACAACCGGACACTAGGTACAACTATATGTATTTTCACCAGAAAATGCACGCGTGA